ACTCAGCCTTGCATCCTTCCATAAGTTGCTAAAATGAGTACCTAGCTTGTTAGGGGCAATTCGCTTACACATTGTAAACTGCTTAGGGAGTGTTTAAGTGCACTGATAAGAGGTTTGGAAATGTACTTGCTATTGCTATCAAGGTTCCACCAAAGATCTTCACTAACCAGCTTGTTGTAGATTAGATCTCTGTACAATCCAGCTGTGTAAGAGATTGTACATAAGCCTAACTGAGTTACACAGCAGATGGTCAACTCTTCCTCATTATCAATTGCATATAGGCATGAGCAATGAGGATAACACATGATAATTCAAAATGTGCTTGCACATCAGTGGCCAAGTATGAACAATGCATATCAATGCACAATTCACAGCCATGTGCAACAGCACCAAATGTGAAATGCTGCTTTTGCAACCTTGAGTGGAATGTGACTATTCCACATTGGACCAAAATGTCAAATCCCTTCCACACAGGAATTTCATTTGCACAAGATACCAACTGGATTCTCGGTAGATATTGGCATAAATGCTTTTGTATGGGTAGAGAGGGAATTACTCCTTTTAAAAAATTACTAGTCTCTACGGAAAAATCAAATTTACACAATGGTCAAAATGGTTTTATGGCATTGTGCTCACTTGAGGGCCATTGCTTTAATGGTTGCACTTTTTTAAAGTTAGTAGTAGTTAGTTGGTGGTATCCAATATTATACCAACCAACTGTACCAGTTTAGCAGGAACAGCCCAGATTAGTCCTCTATTGTCTCACTTTTCAATATGTTTTTAAAACATCTTATTTTTTTCTCTCCTCCTCTTCCTTTCCCCTTTTGTCCTTGGCTCACTTCAGTTGCTGTAAATTGAATTCAAAATGGAAAAGGACTTTGCACTCAGAAAATTCAGCAGAAGAGAAGGAAGGAGATGGCTGGAATCTGGGAATTCCCAGTATGGTCAGTCAAAAGCAAACTTCTGCATCCTGTTCTTCCTCATTAATAACTCCAGCCATTTTGACCAGATTCTATTGCTTAACAATATGTGTTTCTCATCTGTGAATTTTTGGAGGTATACAGATTATGTAGCACAAGCAACTGGTCACACAACTGGTTATCCAGTCTCTTACACAACAGGTTTCCATAAAGCTGTAAACCAGCACAAGTATGCTAGTGAAGATATTTATGCTGTTAGTTTTACATTGGATTTAGCTTTATAATTTTAGTGACCAGAGATCTAAGGGCCTTTTGTAGCCTTCAAAATGTAATCCAGAAGCACCTGCAATACCTCCTGTCTCCCTACTCCTAATCCAATATAACTGGAAAGATAAAAAGCTTTCTAGTTCATCATTAAGTAAGGTATGTGCTGTGCTGAATTCATTATATCCACTTTTTCTCCCTGTCTAGTGATAACGCTTCTGTTATACAAACCAAGGGATTTGTAAGGGGAGGATGCAGTCAATATAATCAATATCAGTAAGTAAAATTTACCTTTCCGGTATATTTTATTTGCAATGCATATGGAATAATCTATGTATTTGCACGCAAGCACAAACAAACATCATAAATTGATGGTGGTGGTGGGGAGGACCTGCCACCTCCTTTCTGCTTACCAAGCCCAAACTCTAAAAATTAAAATTGACCCATTGCAAGCACCCGAAAGGATCACATCAGCCATTTTCTATTTTCTTCTTCTTCCTGAGTTAAGACACCACCACTACTCACAAATAGCCAAGATAAATCTCCAAAGTTTCCCCATAAACAGAAGTCTCTGTTTCTACTACCTGCTTGAATTCATTGATTAAGCCATTTTATACGATAATAAAAAAATAAAAAAACAAAAGTAGAAAACATTATTTGCCTTTAGGCTGTGCAATGCTCCACTCTTCAAAAGAACTTCATAAGTCATAACGGGAGCTCTCCTAGCTGAAGGCATCATCGCCTTTAGGGATGAGGACTAGAAAGACACCACTGCATACAAAAAATTACGATTCACTGAAAAACCATAGTCAAATTGCCCAAAACAGTTCCACTGGTAGCGGTTTATAAATGTCATGAAATGCAAGCCCCAACCCCAATTTTGTTCCACTTAAGAGGAACATCTAGATGCCCTCTGGATTTTAATTCAAATTTGAATGGTGGTATTCCAGGAGATGGACCTACAAATGGAGTTTTGGTATAAATGGTTGTTCCATTTACTAGATAATTTGTTTAGGTATGAATTGTGTGCAGTGTAAGCAGCTACCAGAATGGGGTGAGATAATAAAATTTTCAGAGTGGCTGGTGACTGGTGAAATGCTTGAAGGGAATGATGAATGACAGTCTGGAGGATAGCTGATCTAGTCATTTTCAGTCAGAAAGAAGAAAGGAGTGAGTGGATAGAAGAATAGGGTTGAGAGAGGCTGCATCACCACTGAAAAATTAATGCAGTTTGACACTGCTTTAACAGGCATGGCTCAATGCTATGGAATTCTGTGATTTGTAGTTTTGTGAGATATTTAGCCTTCTCTTTCAGAGAGCTCTAGTGTGGTGTAGTGGTTTGATCATTGGACTATGATTCTGGAGACCAGAGTTCAAATCCTGGCTCTGCCATGTAAACCCACTGGGTGATCCTGGGCAAGTCACACTCTCACAGCTTCAGAGGATAGCAATGGTAAACCCCTCTAAGGAAACCTGCCAAGAAAACCCATGATAGGTTCACCTTGGGGTCCCTATAAATGGCAAATGTCTTGAAAGCACACAACAACAACAGCCAAAGAGGTTTGGTGCCACAACAAACTACAAATCCCAGACTTCCATAGACTGCAGCCATGATAGTTAAAGCAGTGTCAAACTCCATTAATTCAACTCCATTAATTCAACAATGTGGCAACAGTCAGAGTTAGTCATTCAATTTTAGGAATTATTGAGTTGTTTAAGAGTTTGAAATAGCTAGGAGTGAAATCTGTGAGAGAGTGTGAACTGTCTTCTGAATCTATTAAATAATTACTTGTTGTGTCCATCTTATGTTAGTAAGTGCACGCATGCACACACACACATAAACATATTTTGAAGGCATTTGGGAGTCTCTACAGTTGGCATCAATTTGTATGTGCAAACCACAGTGCTTAATTACATTGAGAGGAAGTAACGCTAGAGTAATGGGCTGAAATTCACTTGGGAACATACGTGTAAGTCACAATGTGCACGTCGGACCAAAAATTCACAATTGCACAACAGACATATTCTTCTGATAATGCTAAAAGTGGACTTGAGCAGATAACATGTTCATTTGTGCCTTGCCCTTGTACCTGTGTGTTGTACATTGTGTTATATATCCTATATTTTACATTATGGCTGTGCATTTGTACTTTGCATTGAAGTTGTGCCTCCTATATTTTGCACTGTGATCATATATTCGGATTGTGCATCCTATATTTTGCACCGAAGTTGTGCATCATGTATTGTGCATTCCACAATTGCACTTTAGTTAATGACATGTGTTGCATAGTGTTGCTATTCTTCATGGTGTTTGCCCAGTGCTGTTATGGTACAGGTATGCATGTGAACATTTATGATATGCAAAGAGAATGTTGGACTGAGGCCATGAAGTTATACCGTCGATTAATCTTTGTTGGTGAATTATGAACTTCTGCAATTGAATCTGCAACCAAAATGCACATGGCACAGGCATGCACACTACCACTGCACCTCTGCTTCCTCAACCTTGAATTGAAAATGCCTACATTGCATTGAAAAATAATGTCCAAATACTTCCATAGGGGAACACATGCATGCTTAAGACACCAAGA